ACTTTGGCCATCTGATGAGAAGAGAAGACTCCTTGGAAAAAACCTTGATGTTAGGAAAGTGTGATGGCAAGAGGAGAAGGGGACGACCAAGGATGAGATGGCTGGACAGTGTCTGCGAAGCAACCAACATGAAATTGACAGACCTCCGGGAGGCAGTGGAAGACAGGAGGGCCTGGCGTGCTCTGGTCCATGGGGTCACGAAGAGTCGGACACAACTAAACAACTAAACAACAACAACAACAACAAAGTACTAAACATAGAACTATGAATGCCACATCACCTTTCATTTTCTGCTGAATCCCTATTTGGATGTCAAATTTTGCAGGGACACAGGAAAAGAATTCCAGAGCATGAGGGCAACACCATGATAGGATCTTTTTTGAATACACTCAGCATTTGACAATTTTAGATGGGCAGTTCTGGATGACCACAGTTGGCATGGAGGTTCATATGGGTAAAGGCAGTCTACTAAGTATGTGGGTTCTGACTCAGGTAATAGTACCTTGAACTGAATCTAGAAAACCACTGGCAACCAAAACAGAGGTGATGCTGGTCATTTGACAATTGACAAATCCAGCTGTCATTGATCAAGATCATGCAGAATCAATGTTACATGAGCGTAACAGAAAGCACCTGTTAGTAGCCTAGCTGCCAAATCTTGTACCAGCTGTAGCTTCTGAGTTGTCTACAAGGGTAGCCCCATGCAGAACAAATTACATTAGTCTAATCTCAAGCTTACAGTGGTATGGGTCAGGGTGGCCACATTGTCCTTCTCTAAGTAAAGCTTCCAGACTGGGGTGAAACGATAAACTGCTGGCCTGATCACAGTTCCCATAAGACATCTAAACTCCTCCTTACCTGATTCACAGGGGGAATTATTTTTCTCCATCAGTCCTAGAGAAGTGACAGCTGGATGCAACAATTGCTGAATGACCAGCATCGCCTTTGTTCTGTCTGGATCCAGCACCTGCCAGTGTAGCCGTGACTGTGCTCGCCTCCTCACCTTTGCTTGTCTGACCAGTTTGGGAGTCCAGTTTCAAACGACACAGCTCTTCCATTTGTTGGCCAATTAACGACACAGCTCTTCCATTTGTTGGCCAATTAACAATCTTGATGCAAACTTCAACACATGGGAGGAGGGGGCCTCTTTCACAGAAACTCACTTGCTTGGTTATGTCCATATTTTATTCTTGTGTAAGACTTCTCTCTCCTCCTTTTGGTGCCCTCTTGTGCTGGCATCTGTTCAACTTCTTCCCAGGTTGCTGGTTCATCTGTCTGCAATGGCCTTGTGAGACAGGACGGGTGAGAGGGCAACACACCTCTGTTGGATTGTGATGAGCATCTGACGTCTGGTTCCGGAACCTCTGGTGGCAGAGCGCCATCTTCCAGTTCAACAGCTTCAGCAACTGCCCCACCAGCGTCCTTTTCTTTTGGTGTACTGCTCTCGTTCTTTGTGTGTCATTCCCATCCTCCTCTGTCCTTGATTCAGGTTGTGAGGGCCCTGACAAAAATGTCTAGGAGAGTCTGGATGCGTTGATCTTGCTCATTAGAGCTGTCTAACACAGTCCTTCTTCTGACAGCCTTCCTCTGTTCATCAAAGTAAACCACGTCTTGCATTGACTTCACCAGTTCCTAAGAGTCATGACTCTGCACCCTTTGATGCTAGAGACACAGCCAATAAGAACTGTCTGTTCAGTTCTAGACTCCAGTTTATGCCTCTTCTCCTTGGGAATGTAAGAGTAGGTGATGTTTCCAAAGACTCTTGAAATGCTCAGACTCCTACCACACCAATTTTCAAAAGGCATCTTTGCAACGCCCTTTGCTGGCCATCCGTTCTACAGATACGTTGCTATCATGATTGCATCATCCCCAAAGCTTGTTGGGTAGTTCCACATCTGCAAGCATGCCTCTGGTCATCTTTAGAAGACATCTCAGTATTTTCTCAATTCCTCCATTTTGTTCTGATGTATATGGAACAGTCCTTCTGTGTAAAGCAGGGGTCTCAAACATGCAACCCGCTGGATGATAGTTTGTGGCCCCCAACATGACTGCTGCCCCAAAGCACCCATGTCCTCTGCCGTCAAGAGTAAAAAAAAAGCCTCGCCTCGCTCGCTGGCTCTCTTCCAAGACGGAGGGTGCCTCTTGCACCCTCCATCTGGAACTGCAGCCTGCCAGCCAGCCCGCCTATCTACCGGCTGGAAGGCTGCAGTTCTGGATGGAGGGTGCAAGAGGTGCTGTCTTGGGGGAGAGCCGTGAGCGAAGCGCGCTGCCAGCCCTTTTCTCTGAGCGCCTGAGCTGCCCCTAGCTATGCCTGAGAGCAGAGCTCGCTCCCAGCCTGTCCTCGAAGAGCGCCGCCAACCGCAGCTGGTGCCGCTGCCTCTTCCAGGGAAGCAGCTCTGTGTCTCTCTTTCTCTCTCAGCACCCCCAGCACGAGCCCAGCCAGTGGCCGTCTCAACACCCGGCAGTGCTTCCTCCTCCTCCTCCTCCTCTTCGTCCTGCTTCAGCCACCTCGGCTCTGGAGGCTGCCTGGGCTCGCCTCGCAAAGTTTGCTCCTCTGTCGTGGTGGGGGTAGCTGCTGCTGCTGAGTGCGTTTTTTTTGAGGGGGGCCCTCAGAGGAAGGCTGCTGGACCTCCGTGTGTGTGTGTGTTTTTGTGCATGTGCACATGCCCACAATCACCTGTGGGGGGCGCACCGTTGTGTTTAATTTCACAGCTACCGATGGGGGCTTTTCTCCTTTGGCAAGGTGATTCTGTGAGGGTTTTTTTTAATGTTGTGCCCGCCTCCCCCCCCCCCGGCTAGGCAGTCGCTCCTTTCTTCTTCTTGCTGGTGGTGGTGGTAGTGAAAAAGGAGCCGGAGGGGGTCGTGGCCGGCGACGAGGGCTCTCGCGACCCTCCTCCTCCTTCTCCTCATCGGAGCCCCAGCCGGGGCGGATTCCTCAGGCTCTTGCTCCGCTTGGTGGAAAATCTGATGCGGCCCAGCCTCACCCAGACTCTGCCTCTAGCAGCCCCCAGGTAAATTGAGTCTGAGACCCCTGGTGTGAAGTGTTTTGTTCCTCAAAGAATGTCTCTGTGTGGTGTCCAGTATAATCACCACCGCTGTCTGATTGAAACACTTGGGGTTTTCTTTCACATTTGTGGCTCACTATGGCCATGTATCTCCTCAGAAGCTTGTGGGTCTCACTCTGGTCCTTCAGTAGGTAGGTGAAACAATACCTTGAGAAATCACTCACAATTACTAGAATATATCTGTTGCCTCCCACTGACGGCACATTAATTGGCCCACACAAGTCAGTGTGAATTAATTCCAACACCTTTGTGCTCTTCTCAGCACTTGAGCAAAATGAGGGTCTGACTCCTTTTTCTGTGAGGCGATTTATGCAACTGGCAGTCTTGTTTGTGTCATGCGGCTTTACCTCAACACCTTTGGCTGGGTTCTTATTCTGCTGTTCCAGGACCACATTTGTATCTCTCTCTGAGGAAATCTGCAATGCCAGAGGTCCCAGCTGGTCGTCACTTCTTGCACCTTCTCTGCTGTGTTGATTTTCACCTGTTCCTCTAAGAGACTCACTTGATAGATGGCACTAGATTCATTGTCCTTTTCAACTATGCCATTTCCACCATCAAAATGCATTTCAAAGCACAATGCACCCACAACAATACACACTAATCACTCATCTACAGGAAAAGACAAAAGCCTATCTCACAGCCATAAATACGGCACTCTCAAAGCCAACTACACCAGAGCACAGGTTGCTGTCCTCAGACGATGCCCGTGGCCACAGAGAGACTGGCGAGACGTCAGGAAGACCCACCTTCGGAACACGGCCAAAGAGGCCGGAAAAACCCACAACCGCCATCGGATCCTGTCCGGGGAAAGCCTTCGCGAATACATTTTAAAGCCCCTTTTTCCCTTAGAGCTGACAGACATCGCAAGTTGCATTCCCGCTTCGGTGCATACACCCGTCCCCCTCCTCCTCCTGGGCAGCATTTTCATAGCTCGCACCTGGCCGTAGACCTGGCGGAGCCCCCAGGGCCCCCTTCGCCTTGCCTCGGATCTCTCTACGTGATCCTTCCCCCCCCCCCTTTAGCGGCTCTACTCTCTCCAGAGGTTTCCCGACTCGGAAAGAGTTTTCTGACGGGTTGCGTGCTGCCGACGTCCCCTGCCTGGATCCCGGGTGTTTTTATAATCCTGAGAGTTGAACAGAGAGACCTTCACACGTCAAAGCCGAGCTCCCCGGAGTTGAATAGAGAGACCTTCACACGTCAAAGCCGAGCTCTTCTGTGTAACCATCCCTCCCCCGTCGGGTTTCCCTTCCTCCTTTGTCTCCTCTTTCTCAAGGCGTTCACTGGGAGCCACGGCCTCTCCTCCTCCTCCTCCTCCTCCTCCCTCCGAGGGGCTCAGCGTGGCAGACCTCCCACCCCC